GTTTCTGGAACGCTGACCTAGCAGGGAAATCTGTACTACAAGGGGCCAGCCCTCCAAAAAATAATTCTGGGTTTTTTGGATTTCCTCTTGTAAATACATACACACATAATGGTAGCGTATTAATGATACCCTTTGGTGACATTCCTTTATTTATGTATTTATTTAATTTTGATTGTCTTAAAAATATTTCTACTTACCAATACAAGTTTATGTTAAAGATTATGTTTAAATACTTTTAAAATGTCAAAGTATAATATGCTTTCTGCTTCCCCTTACAAACAAACATATATATACATATACATACATACATACATACATACATACATACATACATACGTGTCTGTACCCTACAAAAGAGAAAACCACGGCTAAAAAATACCAGTCTACAGTGAAAAAGGCATTTGGATGCACAGGCTGTAACCCTTTGCCTTTCCAGGGTTTAGCTTCTACCTCTCATAGGCTCAGCCATTGAGGCTCAAGCAATGCTAACCAAATTTGGGACAACTACCTGTACCTGTATCTTCTGCCCTTCAAAAGTCATGCAAAGTAGATGGTGCCGAATGGAAAATCTTGCTAAACAGTCTTAAGTCAGACTTTAAGCCTAGTCCCAATTTGCCACGATGAACTGGGGGACTTCAGTCAGGCCATTTTGCTTCTGTGGGTCTCTGCCTTCTTATTTGCAAGGTGAAGGGACAGGACTAGATTTCTGGGTCTAAGAGAAGGCTAGATGTGTAGGAAGGGGAAAAGAGTTCTGGTCTGACTCTTCTCTTGGAGGTCCATTTTAAGTTGGTGTGAACATGTTAGGATGCTTCAGGGCTGTTTTACTTTGTGTTTCCAAAGGTGACCGGGAATCACTCCCATCCCCAACTTGATCTTTGCCACTAATCTTCCACTCACCCCCAACAGGGTCTACATTAAACAAACTTGGACCATGAGTGCTTGTGGCACTGTCATACTTCCTTTATTTTGTTCACAGCATCCTCCGCTTTCCCCACCTTCTATCTTATTTTAAAATATTAAAATCCTAGTCCTCCCTACCTCTCAACATCACCTCAATGAAGCCGTTCCTGAATATCCCTTCACAAAATGCCTGTCACCTGTCACTGATCACTTCCTTTCTATATCTTAGTTCTGTATGCATACCTTGTATCTTCTTCCCAGGCAGTGTGCTACTTTGGAGCTCAGACCATCTCCCTTTCATTGTTTTATTACCCACAATGCCTTGCAGAGGGCACACAGTAAGGAGGAAACGTTAGGTAGACATGAGAAACAGCCTTGAAAGTCAGACAGGCCTGCAGTCAAATATCTGTGTGCCTTTGGGTCATTTATTTACTTTGCTAAGTCTCCTCTGTAAAATGGGATATTAAGTCCTAATTTATTATAATTGCTACAAAGAGTAATTAAAAGTGGCATAAATACGAGCATTATTAGCAGGAAGTGATTACTGTAGTCAGTGGATCAAGATGGCAATCAAGTGCGAAAGGGCTTAAAAACCCAATTCACAGTTATTTTTCTAATTGCAAGCCTTTATTTATCTAAATATAAGAGTAAAATACTTTTGTCCTCCAATTGCTTCAAAGCTACGACATAGGGACGTGTCTGCTGTACGGCTAAGTTTCTCCCACAGAGGGCTGAGCCTAGCAGACATTTTTCCTACATCTTTTCTGCCTGAGGAAGGAAAATATGGAGTGAGGTCCATGGCCAAGAAAAGGAGGTTCTGGAGCAGGGACAGTGGAAAGCCATGGTTTATATGAGATGACTTTAAATATCCCCCTGATTAGAAATTTCCAAAATTATTCATGTTCTGGTGACTTTAAAAAATATAACCTCAATAACAATTTTTTCCCTTCCCCAGCAAGGGAAAAATTCTTCAGCACAAACCTTAGGCCTTCTCTATTATATACATCAATCGAATGAAAATAGATACTAAAAACTCAACCTTAAGCTTTAGTTCTGTTTGGGGCTCAAAGCGTACCCCTTCTTTTTCTGATTACACGTAGGCATATTTTCTTACCCATTGTGTCCTGAGTTTTCTTTGCATGCAGATCACGGCTAAAGTCAGATTGGATGACTATGAGGCACGTATCCAATACTCCATATCTATTCTCCATTTAAAATACACTCTTTTGCTTGGCGTACTAATTCTATAGCCTTTATTTCTTATATCCTATGTCATTTTTAACACACATAGACTATTTCCTCCATTCCTTTATTTGCTGGGTAGCTACACCATTAATATATCTGACGACAGCAACTAGGTAAATATGTATCTTTAAAATGTGGATCCACATCCATTCTTTCTCACACCCTAGTTTCTTTAAGATTAATCTCATTTATTCTGAGGCTCTGCATGGAGCATTTCATTCTAGAGCATCTCAGAAATTGACAGATTAATCACTTTGTGGGCTCTTAAGTAATGCTGAATTCTCAGTGAGAGTCAGCTCTTCATTCTTCATAATACATTTGCTGAACTCGGCAATTAACACCTGGTCTATTCAGGTTATGTTTACCTAACCTTCTCTTTGGTTCAAATGAAAAGATTGCCAAAACTGCCCAACATTTGTGGGAATGAACTACAGGGACTAAAATTCAATCTAAACGTGGTGCAGTATGTGATACAGGATTATTCTTAACCTCTTATTTTTCCAAATTCCATAATTATTCACATATAATGAATGCACATGTATTACAACTTAACAAAGAAACATGAAAAGCTAAAGCCAAAAGCAAGAATCAACTAAGGAGGGCAATGATCAAGATTCCTTTTATTATTTCCAAAGCAATTGTCAGTGAAAATTCTCGAGTTTCTTTCTTGATATGTATTGTTAGCCTAGCTCCAATTTTATATAATCGATGCGAAATATATTTATAAAATACATGTGCCAAGTTAAATATATCTTATTTTGTTTTTAAGACGTGGGGTAAAATTCAGGATTAGGTATGCAAGTGGTCATTATACCGGTAAAGTTTGGACCTCCCTTCCCTTTGGTCCCCCCTTCGCCTGGTTTGAGGTCAGGTACCCTTATTAGCGTTATGTGCCCCCCCCCTAAAAATTTTAAAAAATGTGGTCAGGCATGGTGGCTCAACTTGAAATCCCAGCAATTTGGGAGGCCGAGGCAAGAGCATTGCCTGAGCCCGGGGGTTCGAGACCAGCTTGGGCAATTTGGTGAGACTTTGTCGTTACAATAAATCACAAAAACTAGCTGGATGTGGTGGTGTGCATCTGTAGTTCCAGCTACTTGGAAAGCTGAGGAGGAAGGATCGCCTAAGGCCAGCAAGTCGAGGCTACGGTGGCAGTGAGTGTGCCACTGCACTCTAGCCTGGGTGACAGAATGAGACTCCAACTAAAAAAAAATTTTTTTTTTAAATGGTATCAGAATACATAACTGATTGGGATATGTTGGTTCCATTATCCTTGGTGCCAGTTTGTTAAAAATTACAGTGGAAGATTTTCACAGTACCTGTTCTAAATCATCACATATACATTAGTTTTAAAATGTAATCTCTACTAAAAATAGTGTTGCACCTAGTCAATTTAACAATAAAATGAACAGTAGCAAAGGATATTATTCCTCCTAAAATGGCTGATTTTGAGGCTGCTTACGCTTTTCTTAAACAGATGAGTCATTGGAGTGAAATTTAGTACTGCAAGCCTTGGCACAAACCACACCACCACCATCACCCCTTTTACAAAGGGAGCTCCCGACTTTTCTAAGCCTCATCTAACACTAAAGTTTTCTGTTAACATGATTCTATAGCAAAAACACACCACTTTTACATTTAGGAGGCATTCCTAAGTACCAGTTTTTCATGAATGTATAAACAGATCAGTTAATTGCCATGACAACCAAGAACATATCAGGTCAAAGACATGGCTGGCAAATGTCCTAGTGATTTTTCAAATACTATCTTTTTAAACAGCTGAGAGTAACAGGCTGGGGGTTATTCTGCACAATAATACAAAGGCTGATGTCTAGAAATGGGTTAACAGTAACCTCCTGAGAGGTCTTCACAATTCTAAGATCCCATAAACACCAGTAGCCTTACCAAAGCACAGTGAATCCCACACAAAAAGATCTAGGGTCTCCAGAAACAACAATGGAACCACAACCAGTGGGGGGAAAATATCTTAAATTACAGCCTCTGAAAATAAATCACTTTCTAAAAAAAGAAAGCCCGTTACTTTGCTTAGAGAAAACAAGTCAAGGAAAGGATATGAATGTGTGATAGAGGAAGGTCACTATCTCGAGGAAGAGAAACTCAATTTTCTGGTGGTATGATTTTTAACATTCAGACTAACTTTATTTTGTCGTATTTTAATATCATATAAAATTTCTCTGGGAATTTCATTACTAGAAGAGTAAATGCAAATCAATACTCTTGAGCATCATTATAACTAGAAGTCCTGCCAAACAGCTTTCAAGACAAAACAAGATCACCCAAGCACACCAATAGACAACATACTCTGTACAGCATGATCTCTAGGGAACCGACAATTATTAAAGATTTCAGAGACATCGCTGAGACAGGAAGAGCAGAAGCTTAGACCATATACTTTGACCAAAAATTAAAAAAAAAAAAATGCCTGTATGGATTGGCCAGCCAACTAAAATCTTAATTAATGGATACTGAAAATGATTTATTTCAGATAAACGATTTCACACAAATTGTTTTAATGGATTCGTTGACTTCGCTAATGCCTTACACTTCCGCTTTCAGGCCAGCAGCATACCATTCTGCGGAGGCATATGGCATCAAGGTTGTCCAAGACACTCATGCGTTTGTATCCGTGCTCTCTGATCATCTCTCCTAGCATCGACATGCATAGAGTTAGCAGAGGAACCTCGTGACCAAACCCTTCTTAGCCAAAATGCAATGTGATTTTATGGAATTCTGAGACCTGATCATAGGATCACACATGGGTAACAGTAACATCACCCTAATCAGCAAGGTCATTTCTTCCCTGTAGAAGGCTCAGCCAACGAACCACGAACACTTACCGCAGGAAGTGCTTCATGGTGCCGGTGTGGACTCTCCAGATCCTGTCTACACTCGCAGCGCCCTCAAGGAATCGCTTCAAAATTTGCCTTTGCCAAACAAGTGCAGACTGTGGGAAGAAATGAGATATATTTACGAATAAGGGGGCTGGAAACCCAAGCCAAAAATTTCTGCTGACTGAGGTGAGCAGACGGCATGCTATGCACCCAGAACATTATCAACGGAACTGCCCACGTAGCAACCCAGTTCAGTGGATGGAGGTTACAGCTACAGGCTTTCACTTTATAATTGCACAATTACTCTTTCATTGTAAGTCACCTGCTGGAGAAATGATCAGTTTCATGAGCAAACTCTTCAATAGGAAGTTTTTTTCTATTTGGGACATTGCTCTTGTATCTTGAGGTACAGTGTAAGAAAAATAAAATGAAGAATGACAAAATTAACTACCCGAATCTCCAAATATCTGGTGGTCTTAAATCTGGTAGCCTCAGCCCTCCTGCAGTACAACTGAAAAACACTTGGAAGCCACTGATAACATCATTAAGCTCAAAAATATCTGTGAAAGAGTCAAGTATCCCAAACAAATGGATGATGGTCCTGGCCCCATCTTTTTCTTTACAAAGTATTTCTCTCTCTCTCTCTCTGTCTGTCTTTTTTTTTTTTTTTTAAGTCAGAGTCTCACTCTGTCGCCCAGGCTGGAGTGCAGTGGCACGCTCACTGCCCCTGCAGCCTCGACCTGCTGAGCTCAGGCCATCCTTCTGCCTCAGCCTTCCAAGTAGCTGGGACCAGAATCACAAGCCACCACACCTGGCTAATAATTTTTTGATTTATTGTAGAGATGAGGTCCCACCAAGTTGCCCAGGCTGGTCTCGAACCTGTGGGCTCAGGCAAACTCTCTCACCTCAGCCTCTCAAAGTGCTGGACTTACAGGTGTGAGCCACCGCGCCTGGCCTCTTTTTTTTTCACTGAGTACATGGCAGTAAGACTTTATATTTGCATAGCCCTTTTCATTTTACAATTTTCTTTCACAGAGTCTATCTACATTAGGCCATTGGTCTTCTTTCTTTTGATAAAGAGGATACCAGGAGCAACCTACAAGCAGGAGGTTGAGAGGAGATGAAATGAAACAGGCTAGAAAGGAGAGTTCGGCTGCTGTGGAAGCAACAACAGAGAGAAGTCATGTCACGAGGAAGGAGACCAGCGGAGCACCAGCTGCAACAGCAATGTGACGAAATGAACGTACAGACACTGGCTGATGGCGGAGGCACAGCTACCAAGCAGAAGAGCCCCGAATGTGGGAACCCACATTTAGCCTGGACCAAAGCCATTCCTTTTTTAAATATATATTTGTTTCTTAGATATTCCACGCATGTTTGAAAAAAAAAGTCTGTAAGCCAATTTAACATTATGGTTGCTTCTGGGAAAAGTGGGAGGAGGTTAAGATAGGGGAGGAGAAAAAAGGTCTTCAACTTTATGTCTTTTATTTCGTAAAACATATTTGAGGCTAGGCATGGTGGCTCACACCTGTAATCCCTGCAGTTTGGGAGGCGGAGGTCCCCAATCTTTACCTGCACGCAATTCGCTTATGTAGTAAATCCTTACATGTACACTATAACTTTAAATTTTTTTTTAAAAATTGCTTTACCTAGAAAATTTCATTTCACAATAATGTGAGATAAGTGAAATAATGTAAAACTTAAGCTTCCTGTTCTTTACATAGTGAAGAATGTAACCACACCTGTCTTCCCAGCACGTTGGGAGGCCAACACAGGAGCATTGCTTGAGCCCAGGAGTTCAAGGCCAGTCGTGGGCAACATCACTAGACCTCGTCTGTACAAAAAATAAAATTTAAAAAAGTAGCTGGACACGGCGGTGTGCACCTGTCGTCCTAGCTACTTGGAAGGTTGAGGCAGAAGGATCGCCTGAGCCCAGGAGGTCAACGCTGCAGTGGTTCGTGATCATGCCACTGCACTCCAGTTTGGGCGACAGGGTGAGACTCCAACTCAAAAAAGAAAAGGGTGATTATGGTAGAGAAACCTGACAAACCCTACCTCAGCCGGGTGAACAAGGCTATCACCAGTGTTAAGTCATGCTGACAGCACGCAACCTCAATAGGATATGGTGAAAATGGCACTCTTCTTCTGTGGTCTTCCTCCCCTAAACCCTTAATTTCAGTCTAATCATGAGAAAAACACCAGAGAAACTCCACCTGCAGGGCTTTCGACAAACTACCTACCTAGTAATCCTCACATCTCTATGAAACAAAGCGAGTCCGAGACAGTCATGGCCAAGAGGTGTATGCCTAAGGAGGTATCAGTATTAAATGGTGTGTGGTATCCCAGATGGGATCTTGGAAGAGAAAAAGGACATTAGGAAAAAGCAGGGATTTTAGTTAATAAAGTATCTATATTGGTCCGTTAGTTGTGACAAATGTATTAATGTAAGAAGTTAACAATAAGGGAAACTGGGTGCTGGTATAAGGGAACCCTTTATAACTACTCTGTAAGTTAAAACTGCCTACAATTAAACGTTTGTTAAAATATATGAATGCCTGCTATGCTTTATTTTATTTTATTTTATTTTTCTGAGTTGGAGTCTCACTCTGTCGCCCGGACTGGAGTGCAGTGGCCGCTCCCGTCCACCGCAGCCTCGACCTGCTGGGCTCTGGCGATCCTTCCGCCTCAGCCTTCTGAGTAGTTGGAACTACAGGCGTGTGCTACCATGCCCGGCTAATTTTTGATTTATTGTAGAGATGAGGTCTCACTAAGTTGTTCCGGCGGGTCTCAAACCCATGGGATCAGGCAATCCATTCACTTCAGCCTCCCAAAGACGTGGGATTGCAGGCTGAGCCACCGAGCCCGGCTGTCTGCTATGCTTTAAACACAGAGCTAGACACTAAGGAAACAGGGTGAACAAGAGACTCTACCCTGTAGTCTTGAGGGAGGCAAGAAGATGGTACAGAGAAGCAAACAAGTCCTTAAACACAGTGTTATGAGGGGGAGTGAGTTCTGTGACAGTGGGTAGGAAAGACGCCTATCCTAGGTGTCCAGAGAACACAAGCAAAGCTCTAGAAGCGAAAGGATGCACAAGAAAATGCTCAGTATGACTTAACATGGTGCTCCGTGAGAGGGGCGGGTAAAAGCAGGGATGGCAAGATATGGAAATGCAAGCAAGGGTCAGATCATGGAAGGGTTGTAAGCAGTATTAAAGAAGTCTGAACCTTAGCCCAGGAGCAATAAGAAACTGTTAAAAGTTTTCAAGCTGAGATGTGGCATGATTAGAACCTTGGTTTAAAAAATATACTCTGGTCCAGGCATGGTGGTTGAAGCCTGTAATCCTAGCACTTTGGGAGGCTGAGGCGAGAGGACTGCCTGAGCCCAGGGATTCGAGGCCAGCCCAGGCAACCTGGTGAGACTTCGTCTCTATAATAAATAAAAAAATAAGCTGGGCATGGTAGTGCGTGCCTGTAGTTCTGGCTACTTGGAAGACTGAGGTGGAAGGATCGCCGGGTCCCAGTGGGTCAATGGTGGGGTGGCCGTGAGTGTGACACTGCACTCCAGCGTGGGCGACGGAGTGAGACTCTGACTCCAAAAAATCTGTAGTATGAAGAATATATTGCACTGTGGTAAAATTATAAGTGTAGGATACCTTGCGTGAGCTTGTTATAAGTACCCAAGCAAAGATAATAATGGCAGGATAAGGCAAAGGACAGGTTGAGAGATATTGAGAAAAGGGAAACAACAGTGCCTTGGTTCATTAAAGGAGGAGTCACACATTGTGCCCAAGTTTATGGCTGGTCGCTGGGTAGACAGTAGAGTTATTCACTAAGATATGAAACTTTGAGAAGCATATCTGGGGATCTGGGTCTTTGGAATGTTCAAGTTTTCAGGACCAGTGGTAAAGTGAAGATTCATGAATTTGAAGATCAGGAAAACAATCCAGGTTGGAGACAAAGATTTGGGCTTCCTCAGCATGTAGACAGTAGCTAAAACCATAGTTCAGAAGGAATTACTAAGGAAGTAGCCTATACAACACTTGTTCATAACAATAGTTCTTTGTCACTAGGATAAGATTAAATTAGAATTTTCATACTACCAAGGAGGTAAAGAATGGATTACGTTTTAGAAAGTTTTTATCAGAATTTTTAAAAAGACTTTACCCTTCAGTAGTTTAATTTCAGTTAGCTAGAAAATTGGTTTGCCTAGGAGTACCGTACGTTCTCACTTGTAAGTGGGCCCTGATCACAGGTCACATGAGCACAAAGGTGGGAACAACGGGTGCTGGACTGTGCTAAGAAGGGAGGGAGACAGGAGGAATAAAAAGCGAACAGCAACATGCTGGGTACCAGGTCTACCGGGGGAAAGTGGGACTGCTAGAAGCCCAAACTTTACCTGCACTCAGTTGACTTATATAGCAAATCCTCACATGTACCCTACAATTCTAAAAAAAAATTTTTTTTAGTTGCTTTACCTGGCTGGGCTCGGTGGCTCAGCCTATAACCCTAGTACTTTGGGAGGCCAAGGCAAGGGGATTGCCTGAGTCCGTGGGTTTGAGACCAGCCCGGGCACTTGGCGAGACCTCATCTCTACAATAAATCAAAAAAAATTAGCCAGGCCTGGTAATGCACGCCTATAGTTCCGGCTACTTGGAAGGCTGAGGTGGAAGGATCGCCGGGGCCCAGTGGGTCGACACTGGGGTGGCCGTGAGCATGTACTACACTCCAGCCTGGGCGACAGAGTGAGACTCTGACTCAAAAAAAAAAAAATTACTTTACTTAAAAAATTTCATTCACAATCAGGTGAGATAAGTGAAATGATATAATATTTTATCTTCCTGCTCTTTACATAGTGGCTGTTGAGTTTATCCACTGAAAAAACCTCTTGAATGCTGATATGCCCAGCACTGTACTGAGTAATGCCATACAGAGTTTCCACCTTGAGGGAGCCTTACTGTTCAAGGGAAAATCTGGCAAATATAGTAGCGAGTGTGGACGGTCGTTAAGAGCACAAGCTTTGGAGATGGATGTCATACCCGGGATCTACTCCCAACCAAGTTGTAGCCTTAGACAAGTTGCTTAACCTCTCTAGAGTTAAAAAGGAAGCATAACTG